GGCTGGAGCTGGCTGGAGTTTGGTGTCCCAGCCATGGGAACGTTTTGTGGTGTTCTGTGTGGCAGCAGCTCTCTGGCCACAGAGAGAAACACACAGCTTTCCTCTCGGAGTCTCTGTGGCTGAGATGACCCCGAGGTGTTGGAAAGTCTCTTTGTCCCAGCCCAGAGATCGAAGGGAGAGTTGGGATTCTTCAGCTCTGGTTTTCAAGGTTGTTTAATCTCTGTTATCTATCATTCTATCTAACATGCTTTTATTTGTTGTCTATCTATTTATTTGTTATTCTATTTATTTTTTTTTCTATTTTTTTGTTATTCTATTTATTTGTCATTCTATTTATTTGTTATCTATCTAAAATTCTTTTTCTGACCTGCTGAGGTCTGTCTAGCAGGGTTGAGGCACACTGACCACCCTTGGGGTGGTGTTATCTTTTTATACTAAAAACTACCTGTACTTTATTCGTAATAATATTCAAATACCTATCACCTATGTTAGACAGTGTGTTTCTACTCTAAACCAATCCAAAAGTGACACCATCACCCAGAAGATGGAGGCTAAGAAGAAGGACAAGGCATGCCCAAATCCCCCCATCTTGGCTTCTGAACCCCCATTCTAAAAACCTCAACATTTTACTTTTTCACCCTCTGACAAACTAAGTATCATTCTACTTAAACTTTTGTGGCTTGTAAACCTTCACATAAAGTTGGTAATTTTTTCCATGGGTTAAAATCAAAGCCACAGGTGTCTTGGGCTCTGTGCCAAGGTCTCTGAGCCCTCTCCCAGGGGCTCGAGCCATCCAGGGCAGCCAGAGGGGTGTCCTGGGTTCTGACACTTTCCCAGGCATCATTCTGGGAAAAACCTGTAAGAATATCAGAGAAAAGAATGAGAAACAATTCTTAACTTGCTGCACCTGCTATTGTGAACATGTGTAATATGGAATGTCTAATGGAGATTTGTTTACCAAAGGATGATTTCTTAATTAACTAACGGTGACAGTGTTTTAATTAAAGAACTAATCAATTCCTCCTGTAGTGAACTAAGGTATAAAAGTATAGGTTTCTTAATACAGATTATTGCTCAGGCTTGTGTAAATGCAGGGAGTGTGTGTGAGTTACCAGGCAGTGGTGGCTGTTGTGCTGACAGCTCTGTGCTCGCTGCAGGGGGGGCGCCTGAAGGAGCCTCTGCAGAAGCTGAAGGAAGCCATTGGAAGGGCCATGCCAGAGCAGGTGGCCAAGTACCAGGAGGAGTGCCAAGCCCATACTCAGGCCAAGTTTGCCAAGTAAGCTCCTCATTTGCTCATTCCCCCCTCTGTGGCTTTTCCCAGCAGGCTCCCTGTGGCCTGGGCTGCTCTCCTGAAGTTTGCCACCTCTTTTTGTTCTGTGGGTTACATTTGCTGATTGGCCTGACTGAGCTGTGTGTGCTCTCTGTGCTGTCTGTGGCCATGGCAGCTACAGCAGCACTGATGGAACAGAGCCTGGCTGAAGGGTTTTGCATGTGCAGGCATGTCCTTGGCAACATGGCAGCCTGGGCACAGTCAGGCTGCATTAGTCCCATCATCTCTATTACCAAATATTGGGAGATTTCTTAACCTTCAGCCCATAGCTCAGCTTGCACCCTAAGCCAGAGATTGCTGATACTGAGACCCCTGTCCAGTGCTGTTCAGAGATACTTAATCTACTTAATACTGCAGGTTAAGTATCTACTTGTACCTGCAGGATGATCACTTCCACCTTTTCTGTCTCCATTTTAGGATGCTGGAAGAGGAAAAAGACAAAGAACAGCGAGTTTGTTCTGATGATGATGAGGATGAAGAAAAGGGAGGGAAGCGTGTCGCGGGCCCGCGGAAGAAATTCCAGTGGAATGATGAAATCAGGTTTGAATAACTCACATATTAAGCAAATTCATGACCTGTCTTACTCTTTACAGTTGGCAGTGAAGCATTTTGGAGTCTGTGTTTTGTTTACAAAGCACCTGTAGGAGCAGTCAGCGTGGAGGTTCATGGTGTTGGTTGTGGAAGCCATTTCTGCATTTATTGCATCTCACCCTGAAGCTGATTTCAGGCCCAGGCTAACCCTGAGAGAAGTGCTGAGAGCCTCTGTGCAGAGTCCAAAAGAGAGTCAGATCTTTGGGAGCAGAAGGGATTCAGCTGAATTGCTGGCATCCTACAGCCCAGACTTTGACATGCCCAGGTTCTGGTTCTGGAAGCAGTTGAAGCTGTTGGGTTCTGCTGCCCCTGGAGTTGGGGCTGACAGAAAAGGGAGTGCTGAGAGCAGGGGAGAGTGACAAAGGGTAAAAGGAAAATCAGGCCTGCTGTCTTTTTCTTCTTATTCTGGAACAAATCAGTCTGTGCTGCTGATCCATGTAGGACACAGCCAGCTGTGCTTCCTTGCAGAGAGGTTCAGTGCTGTGGTTGTTACTGGTGCCTGTGGCTCTGGCACTGGTTTGCTGCCTCAGCTGCTTCAGAAGATCACACTGGGAAGGGGCAACAAGACCTTTCTCCCTGTGCACACACAGACTGTGCCTTTCCCTTCTCTTTTCCTGAGGAGGCAGTGCAGGGTTGTGTCTTGGTGAATTTATCCAGCCTGGATAAAGAGAATGATCTCCAAGTGGGAAAGGTCAATCTGCATAACTGTATGTGAAATCTTCCTGTTCCTCAGGGAGCTGCTTTGCCACTTGGTGAAGATTAAATTGGATGGTTATGACCTTGACAAGAATAAGGCTCAGTCTCTAGAGGATTATGTGAAGACCTTCCTAGAAGGAGAGGTGAAGCCCCTTTGGCCAAAAGGCTGGATGCAGGCCAGGTGAGCAAGAACCAAGGGATTCCTTGTCCCAAGGGACCTGGGAAGGTCATTAGTGCTACCCTTGCTCAGGGAATGGCTGGCTTCAGACTTAGATCAGAGTGCTCAGGGCTTTGGCATGTGGAATTTTGGAAATTCCCAAGGATGGAGTTTACCACAGCATCTCTGGGCTCCTGTTCTGGTACTTGATCACTCTTCATGAGATCTTTTCTCTTTTTTTCCTGTAAGAATTCCCCTTGCTGCACTGAACTGAACATTGCCTGCTTTTGTTTTTTACTGTGCACCTTTGAGAGAGGTCTGGCTCCATCCTGTTCCTGTCCCCACCACTCTTTAGGTAGTGGAAAACTGCCATTAGACTCCTCCTGGGGCTTCTCTTTTTCCAGGCTGAGCAAACCCAGTTCCCTCCACCTCTCCTTGGCTGTCCTGTGTCCCTGTTCCTTGGGATGTTTCCAGTTTGCTGGCATCTCTCTTGGATTGTGGGGACCCTGAAGCTGGGTCTGTGTCCAGATGTGTCCTCCCAGGTGCTGATCAGGGGAGGGTTTGCCCTCAGCAGGACACCTCTGCAGCAGTGCTTCCCTTCCCTTGCCCCCCAGGAGCCCCAGGCCCTTTATTGCAGGGCTCTGCCCAGGGCTGTTCCATGCCAGCTGCAGGACTTGGTGCTGGATCTCACTGAGCTTCACAAGGTTTGTGTTGGTCCCTTTCTCCAGCCTGGGAAGGGCCCTGAGGATGGCAGCCCTGCCCTCTCCCCTGCCTCTGTCCCTTTTCACCTCCCAAATGCCTGAGTGCAGCCAGGGCTGAGCAGCCTTGGTGCCATGGTGGTGTCACACAGGTGCCCCTGGCAGTAGAACTGGCTCTGAGCTCAGGCCCACAGGCCAATCTTTGCTTTCTTGGCTCTGTATCACAAAAGATCCCTTTGTAATCACAAAGGATACATTTTCCAGACACTTTGGGAACTCTTCTCTGGAGTATTCTCAAAACAAGGCGAAGTAGAAAAGTTGTAGGGGCTTATTTAAGTCAGTAGAATCTGGTGTGGTTTCTGCACCCTCACTGCTGTTTCCTGCTCTTTCCCACTCTCCATCATCCCTGCCCTGAGCTGGCAATGGCAGAGAGCCACACAAATGGCACAGTCCCTCTGCTGGGGCTGTCACCACCTTCTGGCCTGCTTTGTTTTGCTCAGTACTTTCAAAGCAAGGACAAGTCTGCAGTCTTACTTTGGAATCTTTAAGGTTCCTTCCAACCCAAGCTGTTCCATGATCTGTCTCTGCATTTCACCAGTGCTGTTTTCTCTGCTGGGTTCTCTGCTGAATTTGCCTTCTGGGTGTTTTGGGGTGAAGGAAGATGTAGGTAGCAGCTCCTGAGAGCAGTAAGTATGAGTGGCACATCAGAAATGCACTTGGAGAAGTCCATGAAGGCTGTTTGGTGCATGTGCACTGGAAGCTCAGTGCTCAGCATGGTTGTGGTGTGGTGGTGCAGGAGCTGAAAGGTGGCATGAGGAGGTGGGAGAAGATTCCTGCTTAGTTAATGAAGATATACCCAGCCTGAGGGTCGCAGCTTGCCAAGTTTTAAAAGCTTTTCTTTTAATAAAAGGAAATTAAAATCTTCAAGTTTGATGGTGAAACCATTCTTGGGCATTCAGGTGTTCACAAAGCCTCAGTGTAGGAGGCACTTCCAGTGGAATTAAGTACAGTAAGTAATACCTCAGTGGATTTCCTGGTTGCTTTCCAATGGCTGAAGGACAATGGTTTCTCCTGCTGGCACCTGGAGTTGGACTTGATCTTTCTGGGTCCCATCCAACCCAAGATATTCTCTGACTTGGTGGTTTAAAGACAGAGGGTAGAGTGACAGTCATGGGAGGGATTGGTGGCTCTAGGAAAACTGTAACAATTCCTTGGATAAGTCAGCTTGATTCACTGTCATCATGGTCTCAGAAGTTCATCTGTGAGAGGAGCTTGAAGGTAGAGCAGCAATTTCATGGATGAGTTAGAGAGACCCTGCCATGAGTCTGTTTTCTCCATTAGCACTAAGAGGTGATTAACAGAATGTTAGGTTAACATAAGCTTGCTTTTTAAGAGAAAAAATAAGACAAAAGTCTGTTAATACCAGCCAGGAATCCCATTCCATGTGCCAGGAATGTTTGTAGCTCCTCCCTGCCATCTAGGAGGGCAGCTGAATGGCAGCTGGTTTGGATCAGAGTGTTTTTGGGGGAGACTCTGCTTTACCCTCAGTAGTGCAGGCGTTGGATGAAGCTCAGTCTATGGCTGTGCTCAGTGAGTCCTTCCAGCAAGGGTTGTGGTGTACAGGGTCACCTCAGCTCCAGGCTGGGCACAAAGGCAGCACAGACCCTTCTCTCCTTCATTGCTGCCTGAGAGGCACGGGAAGGGAACTTTCTCCCTGCAGGCTGAAGAGCTCTTGGATGATGTCTGGCAGCAGGAAGGCCCTGAGTGATGATCCTGCCCCTCAGTTGGCTTTTTAAGCTGGCTGAGCTCTTTCCTTAGGCATTGTCCAACCACTGCCTCGGTGGCCTTTGCAGTGCCTACAAGCATTGCTGCCCAGAGAGAGAACTGTGTGGGGCAGCTCAGGATGATCCTCCTGGCAAAGGGCTGAATGTTGGTTTGCTCTCTGTGGTTTCAGTCTCACCGAGTCCCCTGCAGTGCTGTGCAGCTCTGTCTCCAGTGATCCCAGCTGCTCTACTGGGTCTTGCTGGATATCACTTCTCATTGCTCTCTTCCCTTCTTAGGACACTGTTTAAGGAGAGCAGGCGTGTGCACGGACACCTCACATCAGTCCTGTGAGTATCACAGCCTTCCTCTGGAGTGACAACTGCTCCTCTCCATCCCTGGGGCCTGGGGGATCCTGCAGGAGCACCTGAGCTTGCTTGGCTCCCCCTCATAGATCAGTGCTGCTTCCTTTGGGGAGCTCTAGGGACAGCAGCTGCTTGTGTGTGACATCTCCCAACACTTCCCTCAGGTGCTTTAGCCTTCAGCAAGCTCAACAATAACAGCTTTAAAGCCAGGTTAGCTCTGGTTCTACAGCCTGGAGTGAAGCCTCTGTGCTGGGCCTGGGAGGCTCAGGGAGGTCAGGTGGAGTGTGATTTCTGCAGCCTGTTCTGTTGGTCCTTGCTGGGTTCTGCTTTCCCTCTCTCTTGCTGCCTGGTTCAAGGAGGGGCACCATGAGCTCACACTGGTGGAGGTGGGTGCAGCAGGCTCACAAGAGCCATCAGAATCCACCTGGGCAGGGGCTTTAATCCAAAGGGTCTCGTGGATCTTGCTGGTGGTTGTTAACAGATGAGGACGTGGATTTAGGCTGGTGTCAGTTGGCAGACTGTCCTGTTCTTGGCACTGGTGAGTGAGGGGAAGTGGAATAGGGTGTGGAGTCATCCTTCCCCCAGCCACACACCCAGCAGCTCAGGGGTGTCTTGTACCAGAGATTGCATCTGACCAGATCTGTTCTCTGGGAGTTTGGCAGATGCTTTTGCATCCTTGGCAAAAAGAAGGGTGTAACTTCTGCAGAACAGTCTCTGTGCCAGTTTCTCTCTGGGCCTCGCTGTAGGAGGGCAGCAGTGGGGTCCTGCAGCTGCTGCAGATGTGTGTGGGTGTTTCACTGCTCTGCTGCCATTCCAAGGCTCTGCTCCACTCCCTGGTGGGAGTTGGGGCTTCCAAGAACAGCAACCAAATGTCATGTGCTTTTGAATCCTAGCAACCTGAGATGCTGCTTCTGTTCCCTGCAAAGACTCAGTGGATCATCACCAGCAGGGCCCAGGAGTGCTCCCTGGCTGGCTCCTTCCCTGGGGCAGTCACTCAGCCATGTTTCTCTTGTCTTCCTCCAAACAGGGCGAAGAAGAAGGTTATAGCTCCTACCAAGGTGAAAGTGAAGGTGAGTTCTGTTTTCTGGTTCTCAGGGTTGGTGTGTGCCAAATGGCAAGTGACTGCCACCCTGAACCCTGTGTTTGAGCTTTGTATCAGCTCCTGTGAAATGGCTCTGCTCAGTATTTGGCTTGGAAAAAACACTGGAACAGCAGCTGAAATTGATGGCAGTGGCAGCTGGGAGGGAAGTGGGAGCTCATGGGCACAGAATATGTGTGTCCTGCCTTTTATCCCCAGATTGTGAACCCTCCCTCCCCTTCTCAGCAGTAAACCCTGTCTCTCTCCTGACTGTGCTTTCTGTGATGTTGTTCCAGGACTCTTCCTGCAAGCCAGATAAGAAGCTGTCGGTGTCTGTCCCCTCCCTGCACTCGAGCAGCTCCTTGGCCATGTCCTCAGAGCCCCAGGGAGGAGCCCTGGGCATCAGTGCCCAAACCAGGGAGCTCCTGTCGCTTGGGACAGCCCAGGCTGCCAGCAGCACTGCTGCTCCTGCCACCTTCAAGGATGATTCCTTGGATGAGGACTTGATTCACAACCCCACCTCCTCCCTGGAAGCCGTGTCCAAGGAACTGGCTGTGCTCAACAGCAGGGCAGCAGGGAGCCCTGACTTTACTCTTCCTGCAGCTCCAAAAGCTCCACCAGAGAAGATCCCAGCTCTTGCATCCTCAGAGGAGAAGAGGACATTTCCAAAGCTCAACCCTTCCCCTTCATCGTCCTCCGGTTCCCTCCAGTCTCCTCTAAACTTCCTCGCTGAGCAGGCCCTGGCGTTGGGCCAGTCTTCTCAAGACAAGAAGACAGAGAACTCTAATTACAAAGAGCATTCCTGCCAAGCCTCCCCCAGCAAAATCCTTCCTGATGCCCACCAGGCCAAACAGAAGCACCACAGCGTGGTCAGGCCAGGCCACGGGCCGCCGGCCTCGGCGCCGGTGCCGGGCGCTCAGGTGAAGGTGTTCCACCCTGGTGCTCAGCTCCAGAAACCCTTCACCTCCCCAGCTCCCTTTGTCAAACTGCAGAATCCCAAATCCTCCACTCCCCTGCCCCAGCGCTCCCTCCTCCAGCAGGTCAAGTCATCCACCAAAGCTCAGAGCTTCCATTCCTCCGCGTCCCCAGGCAGCGCCCAGAACTCCAGCAGCTCCCACAAGGGCCAAGGCTTGTCCTCCTCCTCTCTCAGCTACGCCGGGAAGCACTCGAGCGGCTCCGGCTCTTCAGGACAATCTTACAAATCCCCTTTTGTCGCTGGCTCCCTCTCCAAGCACGGGGCTTCTTCCAGCAGCTCCTCTGGAGCTCCTGCCAGCCAGGGCAGCTCCTCTGGGACTTTGCTCCCCGGTGTTGCAGCCCCGTCCCCGGGCTCGGCCTCGGGCCGCCCCGCCTCGGGCTCCTCAGTGAAGAAACCTCCCGTGGCCCAGAAGCTGACCCTGGTGGCACCTCCTGGGGGCTCCAACGGGGATTCCAGCGGGGGCACCCAGGGCGTGGCCAAGCTGCTGACCTCGTCCCTAAAGCCAGCTGTGGTCAGCAGCACCGCAGCCTCTACCTCTGTGCCGGTAAGGGGGCCCTGCTGCGCCGGCAGCTCCTGCTCACTGCTGCCCTGAAGGGGGCACTTCAAAACAAAATCTGGAATGACTCTCTGGATTTCAGCTGCTTTAGACTAGGAAGGTGTGGCCTTTGCCCTGGGCTTGCCCTTCAGAATTCCAGCTTTCACTTTCAGCTTAAATAATGCCTTCGCTGAATACTGTGCTGCCTTCCAAAGGGCAGTTATTGCCCAGGCTGTGTCATGGTCCTGCCCTGGCTCTGTGAGTTATGGGGACAATAGGGCTCTCATTTGGATTAAGAGAAAGCACAGTAAGGTAATTTATCACAAGAGATAAAATTCATTGCATAAACTAAAAGTATAATGATGAATTTACTATTAATTAGATCTACAAACTTAGCCTTCTTTAAATTATTCCAAGTCATTTTAGTATGATTGCCACTTTTGTCATGACTGGCCCATAGAATAAATAATCTGTGGTTATAGAACCATGGAATTATTCAGGTTGGAAAAGCCCTATAAGATCATGACTCCAACCACTCCCCCAGCACTGCCAAGGCCACCTCTGAGTCATGTCCCCAGTGCCACATCCCCATGGCTTTTAAATCTTCCCAGATGTGGTGATTCAACCCCTTCCCTGGGCAGCTGTGCTAGTGCCTGACCATCCTTTCCGTGGAGAAATTTTCCCAATATTTGTTAGGATAGAACATTTCAGGAAGGACTTCTGGGTTGTCACTACAGCCTTGTGTTATTACAATATTAATGATATAAGTGGTTTCATTTTTATCTATAGCAAAAAAGTAATAGTTCCTAATGTTGTATCAATTTGTTGTTGGCTGCTCATGCCTGCCTTCCTTTGTACCCCATGGAAAGAGCTGGGAAATACAAGGAGTGTGTTTAAATGGAAGGCATGTACTGCTCAGCTGATGCAGCTTCTCTGTTCCTGAGCTAGAGAGCTCCTCAGTGGTGCCTGTCTCCACGAGAGAGATCCTAAATAACCTCCTGGGGTGCCTTGGGTGTCACACCTCAGTGCCTGGAGTTGCCAGCAGTGTGTGGTGCCATAAGTGAGTGGGAAGCAAACCCCTGGAGCTCACAGGCAGTGTGGAAACTTTTCCTCTGCCTTATGGAGGCACAATTCCCAGCAAGGGAGTCATGGAGGCACATCCAGTGTGGCCACATTCAGAGGAGCTGGCTTGCCAATGTCCATCTGCAGTGGCCTCAAGTGTTGCCATCTCTTGGGCCCTGGCTGGGAGGGTGTTTTTCCAAGGGGGAATTCTCAAGCATTCCGTGTTTTGCAGATCTGTAAGTTGAATGATGCTGTGCCTTGATTCTCCCTCTCCTGACTGACCTTTCCCATTGCTTTGCAGAAAGGAACTAGTGGAGCTGTGCTGCTAACAAGCTCTTCCTCCTTAAGTGTACTGGCTCCATCCTACAAGTCCAACAACCCAAAGCTGCCAGCTGCCCTGAGCTCCACCCCGTTAGGTATTATCTCTCCTATTCATTCTTTCCCTCTCCATGTCATCTCCTTCAGTTCCGACTCCTCCCCCAAAGCAGGAGTTTCCAAGGATGCAATAGTTACAGGACCTGCTCCAGGAACTTTCCACCACGGCCTCGGGCACAGTGAGTATCCTGCTGGTCACCTGTGTGTCACCTGTGCTGTCACCTCGACCATTAGTGCTCTGCTGGGCTGCCCCATTGCACACCAGCCCATCTCTCTGGCTGTTGCTTTGTGCTGTGCTCCCTGCTTTTGTATCTCCAGCAGTTTGGAGAACATCCCTAGAGCTCACCCAGAAGTGCCAATAACTGGAACCCGACCTCTGCTAACTGCTGCTGCTCCTCTGCTCATTCTGTCTTGGATGTGTATTTGTTCCTTTTTCCCTGTCCTCTCTTTGTTTTTCTCTCTAGGTCTTCTGGCTGGTTTGCACTCCAGCCCCCACCACGCAGCGCCACTCCCACACTCTGCCCTGGCCACTCACTTACCACAGAGTTTGCCAGGTAACTTCTCAGATGTGTTTGTCCTTCTGCCTCGTGAGTCTCCCTCTATCTCAGCAGATCCAGGGCTGCAGCCCAAGGGGTTTCCATGTTTTCCAGCTCTGTGCTTGTCTCTAATGCCTCTCTGAGGTACACAGTGAGGGGCTGGGGGAAACCTGCTCTGCTGGAAGCTGTCCCTGCCACGGCAGGGGGTGGAATAAGATGGGCTTTAAGGTCCCTTCCAACCCAAACCATTCCATGATTAGGAAGAAATTCTTGGCTGTGAGGGTGAGCAGGCCCTGGCACAGGGTGCCCAGAGAAGCTGGGGCTGCTCCTGGATCCCTGGCAGTGCCCAAGGCCAGGCTGGGCAGGGCTGGGAGCAGCCTGGATAGTGGAAGTTGTCCCTGCCCATGGCAGGGGGTGGAATAAGATGGGCTTTGAGGTCCCTTCCTGTCAAACCATCCTGGGATTCTGTGGTTTCTGGAATGATGAGTCCTCAGTGCTTACAGCAAGTGTTGCTTCCTGCAGATACTCTGAATTATCCTGCCAGGATGAAAGCTGTGCCTGTTTGCACAGCCTGCCAGGACGGCCCTGGAATGAATATTCCAGCTCTGGGGAGTTTTGTTCCTGGTGGCCTACATAAAATGTGTCAGACCAGACTGTCTTGTGTCTGTGCACTGAGTTAATTTCCAGCATCTCCTTCACAACAAGTTTGTAGTGTAAATGCAGATTGCTCCTCTTGCTGCTCACAACGTGAGGATTTGGCAGTTAAGCCTGTTCCTGCCCCAGTTTCATGCCTGCAGAAGTAATGCATAAAACAGGAGTTTTCCAAAGAAGAGAAGTAAGGAAAATTGAAATTCAGTGCCAGCAGATCATTCTTACCTGCTCCAGGGATCTGCTTATTCCCCTGATAATTCCCATTTCTGCTTTCTTGGGTGTGTTCTTTAGCACTTTGGTGCAGTTCAGTGCCATTATCTTGGACCTGCTCCTGCTGGGATGGCCTTCCTGGGCTAAGTGAGCCTGATTTAGGGGTGCTAGCCTGGCCCTGTGCTGTGTGCATGGATAACCATGTAACCTCCTGGAGGAGTCATGGAATCAAAAGCCCTTGAGTGCTGAGCACGGTGCTTGTTGGCTGGAGAAGGAAGAGTGTGTTGTGCTCTCAGGAAACTGCAAAGAGTTGGTTTGGTTTGTTTCCTCTGGTTAAGTTTGATGTGGGTTGTGCCATGCTGGTGTGGCAGAGATAAAGAAGGTCCTGGCAGTGATCACTGGTGGGACAGAACCTTCCTTCCTGTTTGTAAATCACACTTCTGGAATGAGATCAGACTTAGCACATGGCTTGTGGAGTTTATTCCATGTCACTGAGGAGCAGCTCTTTGTCCCTTTAGTTTAGGGAGTTCAGAGTGATCACTGGTGTTCAGAGGGCTTTATAACAGAAGAATTTTTTGATGAATTCTTCAGCAGGGTGCAGGGCCAGAAGACAAAAGACCACTGGGAATAAGTGAAGGAGAATTGACCATGGATCCAGCTCAGCAAGGACCTCCTTTCTCACTTGGTGTTTTCACTTAAAGATTGGGGATGGAGCCTGGTGCTGCCATCTCTTGGAACATTCCCAGTTCTGGTGTTTTGGAGGAGAACACAGCAGATATTTAAGTGACTCCCATAACCTTAAAATGAATTCCTGTGTTTTGTGGCACCAGCTGTGTTTGGCTGTGCCAACACCTGCCCACAGCTGCATTGCTGTGTCTGAGCACTGGAGCTGCCTGGGAGGTTGCTGCAAGTGCAAGGAAATGTCGATGCCTTAAATAAAAGTGCTTTTATGTCCATGTACATCCAACAGCCTCTGAGCAAAGAGCATCCAGTGCTTGCCTGTGTGTGGTTGGTGCTTCTGTTGCTGGTGGAGGTTCCTTGTGCTGGGAATGTGGAGATGGGATGTGCTGGGCTGAGCTCTTGCATGCAGAGGAGCTGTTGTTGGCCTGGAGGAGAGGCTGCTGCTGCACTGCTGGGTGCCACTGCTGCTTAGCTGCACGTCTCAGTGCTCCCATTTGTCCTTCACAGTCTGAAGTGGTGTTGATTGCTCCTGGAAAACTTCTGCTCCCTTAAACTTCCTTCCTTTTTCTCTCTTCAGTGCATTTTCTCTTGTCCTCCACATCCATTCCTTTCTGTTCCATCAGTGGTGAGATTCCTATGGATCCTGTTGCTATCAGTGGGCACCTAAAGCCTTCATTTAAAAAGCACCTAATTAAATAGTTCAAAAAAATAATCAATAAAGCACTTAAAGCCCTAGCTAAAAGGGGTTTCTAGGTGAGGGGTTGGCCTCTTCTCCCACACAACCAGTGACAGGACAAGAGGAGACAGGGGGAAGTTTAGGTTGGACATCAGGAGGAGTTTCTGTATGGAAATGGTGGTCAGGCATTGGCAGGGGCTGTCCAGGAAGGTTTGGAGTCCCCATCCCTGGAGGTGTCCAAGGAAGGCCTGGACACAGCACTCAGTGCTCTGGGCTGGGGACAAGCTGGGGATGGGTCACAGGTTGGATTCCATGCTCTTGGAAGTCTTTTCCAACCTCAGTGATTCTGTGATTACAACAGCAAAAATGTACAACAGGTTATTTCCAACCACCTTAGGGGCAAGGCAACCACAGCATGTGTTTTGGGATTCCTGGAGGGGGAGGTGTGGCAGGGGGGATTTAGAGAAGGGCACAGGCTGAGGAGCTCCCTGGCAGCTGGGATTGTGCCTGGGGCTTCTGCTGGGAGCCCACAGGGGACCCTCAGTGCTTCCCTTGTCCCTTCCTCAGAGGCTGCTCCAGGGCAGAGATGTCTCCAAGCACATCCTCTTCTTCTGCATCCCTTGGTGCTGGGAAGCAGGAGTAGGTCTGTAGGTCTTTCCAAACTCTGTGCAGAGGCCTGGCTGTCCCAGCTGCCCTTTGGGGGGTGCTGAGCCCCTTCCCAGCTGTTTTATTTTCTTTCAGATGCTTCTCAGCTTCACGGCAAAGGGTCCAATGCACAGCAGCGCAAGTTGTGACGCCTGCAAGGAGGGGAGCTCCAGCACCCATAGGATAAAACCCAGAGGAACAGCTCATGGACTTTGGATACCAGCTGTGTCTTTTGATTTCTTTTTTTTTTTTTCCTTTTTTTTCCTATTTCTTTTTTTTATGACAACTGGAGAGACTGAACTGCAACAAGGAACTCATCGGGGCGTCTGCTCAGAGGCTTTCAGAGCTGAGCCCCACACCTGGGGCCACCTGGAGCCATGCCCTGATGAGAGGAGCCTTTTGTAGCACTGTTCATTGCTGCTGCCCTTCCTGCATTCCCTGGCACTGGCAGGAGCTGGAACTCTCAGGGAGGCTGGGCTGGTCCTGCAGTGGATTCCCACCCTCCTGTGTCTGTAGCTGCCAAGTACCTCCAAGTCCAGTTACCTCCTTGGTCTCCCTGTGGAGGGTATGAAAGGTGCTTCTTTCTTCTGCTTTGGATATACTTGGATAATTCTAGCACTGCCAGTGCTTTCTTGAAGACATTTGAGGAACTTTCCAATTGTACTATAAAACTGTGCTACACTTCATTGGAGGATTTAACATTTCCTGTGTGGTGAATCTGAGGAACCACCTGATGTTCCCCTCTGGAGGAGAAGGAAGACTCTCTAGAGACTAAAGACATTTTTAGATGCAGTCATCGACTTTTAGAATTCTACTTCTTTTGAGTTTTTGGATTTTTTTCCCTCCAAAGGGATGCTTTTTTCCTGCTCAGTTTTATCCTCATTGCCATCGAATGCATTGGATTGAATGGGACACCTCTTAGCATGTCACATGGATGGGAAGACATAATTCCAGTGCCTTTTATGGTGGAGCAAGAATGGACTAGTGACACACATTTCAGCCCTATTTTGTGTGCTCCTCAACCCTTTTTTAATCATTCTGTATTTAAAATGTATTCTGGTTTATTTAATAGAGCTTTTTATGGTTGCACATCAGAAGAAAAAAAAAAAAAAAAAGCTGCACTGTCTGGACTTGAGTGGTGACCTGGTGACTGAGCACAGTCCCAAATCCAGCAGGAGCACCAGTTCCCATCCCAGTCTGTGCAGGTGGGTCCCAGGCCCTCCCCTAAAGCCATTCTTTCCTAGGGTTGTGAGTTAGGATCAACTTGGTGGGCAGAGGGAATGAGTGAGATGAGCCAAGGTCACGACCTGTCCAATGAATTCCAGAGAAAAGCACCTCAGTGGTGCCTGCACCAGGATCATGTGCTCAGCACAGCTGCAGGGACAGGGACCAGCTACAGTCTGGGGGTGTCGTCTCTTGTCCATTTTTCACTTCAGAGCTAAATACTCCCCCTGTGCACCCCCTTTCAGGCTAAGGGCAGGCTGGGGCTCCACCTGAGCTTTCTGAGGTTTGGTTTCCTGCTCTGCCCAGTCTGTCTTCTCTCAGGCCCCCCAGCCACGTCCCAGTTGTGCAGGGGTAGTGCTGATCCATGTAGAATTTACTGGTATTCCAAGGAAAAGCTTGCACCTTCCTCCTTGAGCTTTGGGCAAGGATGCTGAGCCCAGGATGCCAGCAAATGTCTGCTTTAGTTTCCTCTGGTTTTTGTTAAGATCTGAGAATGACTGTTTTCAATTTGAGCTGATACATAACTGCCTGAGATCAGTGAGTTGATTGTATTTCAAATTAATGGACACAGCTCAGATTTCAAGTCTGTTTACAGAAAATACCTAGGTTGTAGCAGAAGAGCCAAAGACAGAACTGGTGTGGGTCAAAGGAAGCACAGCATTTCTTGTTGGACTCTGAGCAGTGCATGTCGTGTGGCTCCTGTTGAAGGCCTCATCCTGAGCGGTGCTTGGCACCTTCACCTTGCCCTGGGAGCTGAAAGCTTGGGACTCCTGGCAGGACAGGGGCTCTCAGTGAGTGACCTGAGGTACTGGTTCTCCTCCCTCTCTTTGCTTTCACTTGAATGCTTCTGCTGGGAAGCCCCCGTGTGCAGAATCTCTCCTTCTAGGAATTTAGCGAAGCCTCTTGCCTCAGGGAAACGTTTATGTGGTGGAAATTCTGTGGGATATTTTTTCTTTACATGCTATAGTGAGTGAGTGAGTGGTGTGGAGCAGAGTGGCAGCAAGGCAGGCCCACGCAGAGCAGCTGATGGGGAGCCAGGCTGGCACCTCTGCCTTGGGGAGGCAACTTGCAGCGCTTCCAGGATGGAATGGGGAGGGATAGGCTCCCATGGCACTTACCTGGGGATGGCAGTTCCTTTTGGCTGTAAGAGCTGCAGTTTACTATTCTATTTTTTTTTTATGTGTGTGTTGGCACTGTCTTGCTGAAGATGGTGGGGGTGGTATGAAAAATGTTAATCTTGTACAGAACAACTCAATAAATTGTTTCAAACTTTCCAAAATGCTTTTTTCCCCATCTCCTTACCTCTAGTTCCCTGACTTTGCTCCCAAGAATTTCTGTTGCAGCTTGGATGCTCATCTGTGAGTGAGTAATGAATTATTGACTCTTTTAAAGTCTCCCGTGTGGTGAGTGAATGGCAGCTGTGTTACAGCTGTTGCAGGGGTAGGAATGTTTCTTCTCATTCCCTCTGTTCCTAATGGTTGAAGTTGGCCTCTGCTGGAAAGGACATGTGGGGCTCAGACCCTGCAGGACCAGTGAGATCCTCCCTGATCCCTTCAGTCACACAAAGGTAAAATAGTGGAGTTAATCCCCAGAGCCAGCAGGGATAAGCAGGGAATGCTTATGATGCTTCTGTGGACATCAGAGCTCCCCAGGGTTTGGGATTAGCTGAAACTGGGGCAAAAGGGAGTGAATGGGCTCTCAAAGGTACCATCCCAGTGAAATCCACTGTTCTCCTGCAGTCACTCCCATTCTTTAGTGCACTTCACTCCCATCCATTGCTGCTCATTAGTTCCAGCTTCAATGCTGCTCCAGCAATTTCCCCTTGGAAAAGAGCCAACAGCTAAAATGAGTATCTTAGTGTTTGAATTCTGACTCCTGAATGGCATCTTCTTGTACACCCAAAGATCAGGAGGCTGCCATAATTAATGAAAACCAAACACCTTCTGATTGGAACCACTGCATTTTTATTTTGTACTATAAATAGAATTCCCCTCTATTCCCCATTCCCTTACACAAGTAAATGAAACATGTAGCTGCATGTAACTCCATCCAGGAAAACACCAGCACTAACAGCTTGTAACCACGAGTGAAGGAGCTGCCTGTGGGAGGCCCTCTGCATTGGATTCCCCTGCATGCTGTGCACAACCCCTTGTGTCTGGTGGTTCTGCCATCTCTTCATGTCCTTTTCCTTGACCTCTGGGGTGTGTGAATGCTCCTCCTGGATCAGTGGCTGGTGCCATCAAAATATACCTTCATTCTTCCCCAGCAGCACAGGCACAGAGGTGAACAAACGGTGGTGGTGAGTCTTGGCGTGGTGATTCTGGGCCGAAACCTTGGTTTCCACAGAGCTGGTTTTCTCAGAGGATGAGCCCATCATTGAGTCAGTTGTCCACAGTGGGACTGTCTGGCTTATCACCATGCAGCTGATGTAACCAGCTCCTGCTGGTCACCTCGGACTCACCTGGACCTTCAGTCTCTCTCCTGACACAGCTTCGTGCACGACTATGTGAGTTGGAGTTGAGGAAACTGCAGGTTCTACTGAGTCTTTTGGACTTAAGGCACTTCACTGTCCTAAGGCTTTCTCTTGTTTTCTGGTAGGCAGAGAGGAAGAGGGGTTTCAGGAGGTTGGCAGATGTTTTCCACTACGGGCGGTGTTTCTGCAGTGTGTGACAACAAGCGGAGTGGCTGCGTAGCATGGCCGGGGCAGAGGCTGTAGCGGTTTGGAAGAGGCGGAGGAGGGCGAGGCTTTGCAGTGATCTGGGTGTCTGCAAGGTGCTGCAGCTCTCACTGGCTGCTCTTGAAGTGAAGTTTCTAGAGTGGAGCGAGCGCTGTGTAGTTGCTTCCGGACACCAAGACTGCCAGCTCCTGGATGGACATCTCCTTGTTGAGGTAACTGTCGTACTGGGCCGCCGTGAGCCTCCCGCTCTTCAGGGCGTCCTCGATGGAGAACTCCCTGCCAGACTTCCTGTCCAGGATCACAGACGATTCCCCGTTGGGACCCTTTATTGAGATCTCCTCCCAGTCACATTCCTGGCTCTTCAGTTTGACAAACAGGCTCCATTCAATGAGGCCAAACACGTGAGCTTCCTCTGGAGACATCTCTTTGCCGGTGTCGGGGTCGATGACCACGATGGAGCGCCTCAGGTGGTTCTCCCGCTGCTCCCTCTTGATAGCCACTGTCTTCAGGCGATTCTGAAGTTGCTCAATCTCTGCATCTTTTTCTCTGGATAACTGCTTCAGATCCTCTAACTCTCTTTCCAAAGCTTGGAACCTGGAGTCCAGGTTTATCCCACTGTCCACGTGGGTCATGTTTCTCAGATCCTGAGCTTCTGTTGCGGTGAGTTCAATCTCTGACTGCAGTCTCCTTGTTTCCATGAGTAGGTTCTGTTTCTCGAGGTGGAGCTTGTGGTTTTCCTCCCTTAACAAGTCTAGTTCCTTTGATGACTTGGAGTTGTTGAATTCCACCTCGGACAGCCTGGTTTCCAGGCGGTTGATATCTGCATCCAGCTCCCTCTTGCGCCTACTTTCTTCCTCCAGGTTGCTCTTCAGCTTTTGAATCTCGTACTCCGTGTCTCCTTTGTCCACTTGGACACTCTCTGAAAAGACCACTTTCTCCTTCACCTCCATCTTCTCCAAAGAAAGGAGCTTCTTTCTCAGGGCTTCTAGCTCAGTTTGCAGGACTTGCCTGCGGTGCTTCTCTTCTTCTAACTCCAGCTTGAGGAGGGAGTGCTCCTTCTCCTGCTGGGGATCTTGCTGAAGGATCACTTTCTGTTTCACAGTCACTCGTTCTGTCGTTTCTCTTTCCTGTTCTTCCAGCTCGTTCAGCCGGATCCTGAGCCTCTGCACCTCCAGCTCGGCCTCCCTGCGGGCCTGTCTCTCCTTCTCCAGCTCCTCCAGCTGCCGCTCCAGCTCGGAGCGTCTCCTCTGCAGCTTGCGCAGCTCCTCACGGAGCCCGTCGATCTGCTTCAGTTCGCTCTCGATGCTCTGCGAGAAGGAGTTCACCTCGGCTTTCAAGGCAGGATCCTGCTCATACTTCACTACTTCCTGCTGGACCACCTTCTCCTTCACCTGGGAAAGTTCTTCCTCCTTCAGTCTTACTTTTTCTTCTTGGAGAAGCCGTTCCCTCTCCAGGTCAATGTGCTTCATTTGTTCGTCTGCCAGCTGCACTCGCAGCGACTCTACCTCCTCTCTAGTCTTGGGGTCTTCCCGAAACTGGAGGATTTCTTGAACAACTTCCTTCATTTGCACTTGAGGTTTGGTGTCTTTCAAAGCTTGTATCTCTTGTTTCAGCTGGTAGATCTCCAGGTCAGCTCTTTCGATAGCTCCGGTCCTCTCTATGATTTCCTCCCGGAGTCGCTGTAGCTCCTTTTCGGTTTCTGGATCATTCTTGTACTTAATGACCTCCTTAATGACTTCTTTGACTTCCACCAGGGGCCCTCTGTTCTTCAGAGCAGCCAGCTCATTCTGGCAGCTCTTCAGCTGTTCGTCCCCACCGCGGTACCTCCTCTCCTGCTCTACCAGCTCCAAGCGAAGGTTGGCAACTTCATTCTCAGCCTTGGGGTCTGGGCGCACAATCTCACGCACCTTCTCCTGCACAACCACCTTGGAGTTCTCCTCCTCCAGCAGCTGGATCTTCCTGAGCAGCTCAGCCTTTTCCCGCTCGTTGGAACGGCCCTTGGACTTCTCATCTTCGTACTGGCGCCGGAGCTCGTTCACCTCCCTCTCAATGGCCAAATCCTTCTCCACCTTCAGCACCTCCTTGACGGTGATTTTGCCCTCGGCGATGGCCCGCTCCTTCTCCAGACGCTTGAGCTTTTCCTGGAGGAAGCTGAGCTCTTCCTCGTGCTTCTGCCGAAGGGCGCTCTCCCTCTCCTTGGTCTCCTGCAACATCCGGAATTCCATCTCCAGCTGGGGATCGTTCTGCAGCTTCAGCACCTCCTTCTCCGTCACCTTCTCCTGCTCTTTGTTCTTCTCGCTGGACAGCACAGCAATTTGCTGGCGCAAGAGGATGACTTCACTCTCCCTGGTTCCTTCCTGCCTCCTGAGCTCTTCCAGTTCCTCTTTGAGCTTCAGGATTTCAGCAGCTTGAGCCTTATCTTGTTCAATCCTCAGCACCTCTTTCACTATGTACTCCTGCCCTCCTTCCCTCTTCTCGTGCTCCAGGACTCGCAGCCGGATTTTCAGAGCCTCCAGCTCGTCCTGGAGTGCCTGGTTCTTGCGCTGCTCCTCTGCCAGGTTTTGCTGCAGTCTGTGGAAACTCTCCTCCAGCTGGGGGTCAGGCACCTTCTTCACCAGTTCCTTCTTCACCAGAGTTTCTTGGGGCTTCTGGTTTTGCAGGTGGACAATGTTGTTCTGAATGGCTTCAATCTCTGCCTCGAGCTGTTGCCGACGCTGAGTCTCATCCTCAAGCTCTTTCTTCAACTTCCAGACTTCTTCCACAGGTCTTACAGACTTTCTGGTCTGGGCAAAGTCTTGTGTCACCTGAATATCTGGCTGCTGTTGTTGGCAAAAGGATCAAAAAAAATTAGTCCAAAAAAATCCAGTTAATCACACTTTTGGTGCTTATCATCACAGAATCATGGACTCATTTAGGTTGGAAAAAACCTCCAAGATCATCAAGTCCAACCTGCGACTGATCTCCACCTTGCCACCCAGCCAGAGCATGGAGTGTCACGTCCAGTTGTTCCTTGGACACCTCCAGGAATGGTGGAACACATCCACCACTCTCTGGGCAGCCCCTTCCAAGGTCTGACCACCCGTTCAGTGAAGAAATTTCTCTTGATGTTTAACCTGACCTTCTCCTGGCACTTGAGGCCGTTCCCTCTCCTCCTGTCCCTGCTCTGGGAGCAGAGCCCGACCCCCCCGGCTGTCCCCTCCTGTCAGGAGCTGTGCAGAGCCACAAGGGCCCCCCTGAGCCTCCTTTTCTCCAGGCTGAGCCCCTTCCCAGCTCCCTCAGCCCCTGCTGGTGCTGCAGCCCCTTCCCAGCTCTGTTCCCTTCCCTGGACACGCTCCAGTGATTCCATGTCCTTCTTTTCATGAAGGGCCCAGAACTGGACACAGAACTCCAAGTGCCTCAGCAGGGCCAGCACAGAGGGACAATCACTGCCCTGGTCCTGCTGGCCATTCCTGACCCAGCCCAGGAGATCGGAGCCTCCAACAAAGCAACAGGAGGGAGCTGAGCTGTGGCAAACCCTGAGCAGGGAGCATTTGCAAACAGATCTCTCTGTGGGTTCCCAGCCTGAGAAATCCTTTCTGCAACGCCTGCTGCTGTTGGAACCAAGCTCTGAGCCACAAGGGACACTAAATCTGCCACAGAATGGCAAAAAGAGAGTTAAAAACTATATGGAGCTTCCTAGGATGAGTTGGCAATGTGACTGGGGGTTGGTGTGTGTGATTTAAGTGTCTGCTGATTAATGATTTAGGGGGACAAGATACCAGCTAGACTTGTTCCCAGTTCAGCCTGTATTGGCAGAGCCCCACATGTGCCATTCACAGGTGTCCCTGGGTCCTGCAGGTGTGTCCCCTCAGCATCCCCTTGCTCCTGTGGTCACTCACCTGCCGCAGGAGGCTCTGGGCAAACTCCAGGTTCTGCAGCCTCTGCTTGTTCACAGCGTTCACTTCTGTGTATTTGGCTGCCAGAACAGCTTCCTGCAGAGCAAAAACGTGTTGGGAAGAGCTTGAGAAGGCCAGAAAAAACAGGTTCTAAACTGGTAGCTCTGGGTGCTCCTCTAAACACCTACAGCAGTGAACTGCTGAGTTTTGTGGGGGGGAGAGGGATTCTTAAGCACAGACACACTCATGGTCGTGCTGCGATTTTTCTACTCAAGATAAGCAAAAACAGGTGAAGTAAGACCAGGTGAGGAAACTGAGGAAGAACCAGGTGGACACTTTTGCCTGCCTCTTTAGGCAGGATGGGTTTGAGGCAAGTAGCAAACAGATCCTGCATAAGTGTGAGTAGCTTGTGGCCTCATCTCACTGTAAGTATTTCTGTCTTTGGTAGTGAAATCTCTCTGAAAGTCTAGAGAAAAGAAAAACTTCCAGGTTTTTGGCTTTTCTCCTTGTTTTCCCTTCCAAAAGTGTTAAATCCAGCATTTTCCCTCCTTCATTCTGGCCAGCCCAGTTAGAAAAAAAAAAAAAAAAAGCATTTTCCCTCCTTCATTCTGGCCAGCCCAGTTAGAAAAAAAAAAAAAAAAATCCCTTTCTCCTGATTCCCTGTGGTTCCCTGTGGGACCAAGGTCCCCACAGTAAATGTAGATATTTGCAGACCCCCAATGGTCCCATGAGCTGCCCTCTGCTTTGGCTCTGCTCTGGCCAGCCCTTGCTCACCTCCTCCTTCACTTTGGCAGCTGGGGACTGCAGCCTGGGCTTCTTGCTGGTGTAGCCATTGCGGCCGTTCTCCAGGTCCAGGATGGATCTCAGCTTCTCAGCCTCCAGCTCGTAGTCCTGTGCAAAGACATTCCCAGGGCAAATGTGAAACTGCTGCATCCCCTTCACACACAGCTTCTCCTAAGCTGCCCTGGCTTTAACAACTTCACCCCTTGATCTGTTTCTTGGGAAGGCCACAAACCCCCACCCTCTGCTCTGGAGCCAGGCTGGGAGAGCTCCAGGGACACCTCAGAGCCCCTGCCAGGGCCTGAAGGGGCTCCAGGAGAGCTGCAGAGGGACTGGGGACAAGGGATGGAGGGACAGGACACAGGGAATGGCTCCCACTGCCAGAGGGCAGGGATGGATGGGATATTGGGCAGGAATTGGTCCTGGCACAGGGTGCCCAGAGCAGCTGTGGCTGCCCCTGGATCTCTGGCAGTGCCCAAGGCCAGGCTGGAGCAACCTGGGACAGCAGGAGGTGTCCCTGCCCATAGCAGGGGATGGAATGAGATGGGCTTTAGGGTCTCGGGCAGAATTTCAGTCCTTACCTTCACTGCCTGCTGGTACTGCTGAGCTGTGGCAGAGACCTTCTGCACCTCCTGTTCCTTGCTTGCAATGTCATTGAGCAGTGCCTGGGTGCACAGAGATACAGGTCAGAGGCAACACAACATCCAAATGCATCCTTCAGCCTTTTTGGGGGTTACCATTAAATTCACAACCCTGAGAATTCCAACCTCCTTGAGCAGCCCTGCTTTGTGTGAACAAGGCACAGGAGGACCGCGGGACCTTAGAGCACAAAAATAAATCTAATAAACATTTCTATTTTTCTGTTTGATGTCCAGCAGCTATCTAAGATCTGTTTCTTTCAGTTTTGCTCCCTCTTCTCTCCCTGTGGCTCTGGGAATTACCGCTTGGTTCTTGAGCTTCATCTCCACTTGTTGGATGTTGTCAGTCTCCTGGGGCTCGTAGTTGGGGATGTTGCACAGGAACTGGTTCACCTTGTCGTAGTTGGTGCGGTAGTTGGAGTAGGCACTTTTTGCTTTCTGCAGGGTTTGTGTTCTGTGGGGGAAACCAGCTCAGCTTCAGTCCTGTCCCATCTCCTGTGCCTGCTGCAGACACCTCTTAACCCATCCCACCTCCCCTGGTCCCTAAGACATGGATTTGAGCCAGGTTGTTCTCTTGGCACCTCTGTTGCAACAATCTTTGTTTTCCCAGCTCTACCCAGGCACCACATGCCAGCAACCTCTCCCTCTTCCTCCTCAGACCTCCCTGGAATCCCTTCTGCAACTCCTCCATCCCAGGACCATGCTGCTGTGCCTCCTCTGTTTCCAGCGTGGTTCCACCTCCCCAGCAGCCATCCCAGCTCCCAGCCCCGTGCTCTCACCTGTGGTCAATCTGCTTGCTGAGGTTGTTGAAGCGCTGGTTGAGCTTGTAGAGCTCGGCCTCCTGGCGCTCGATGTCGGGGCAGTGCTCCTGGAACTTGCTGGCCAGGGTGTTGGAGCACGTCTTGGTCCTCTGCAGGTTCTGCTCAGCCTCACTGAGCAGGAACTTCTTGGACTGGAGCTCGCTGCCCATGGCCTGTGGGGGAAAAGCAGGAGAGGGGGATTCTCTGGGGTTTCACAGTGTTGTCACCCACACTGATCCAGCAACTGCACTGGAGCTGCAGCAGTGCCACCAGTTGTGGAAAAAAACCAAGCTCAAGGCTTACGTGGTAAGCAGAACCACCTGTAAACCTGACAGGAAGAAAAGCTGCCTCTTACTCCCTCCTCACCTGCTGGCCTTTAAAAGTAACCATGCAAAGAGCAAAATAGCTGCTGCTCCTCATGCAAGGCTTAGATCCTGTTCTTGCCAGTGCAGCAACTGTGGAAAGAGCAATGAAAGCTCTTCCATGTTAGTGTGAATTTGGGATTTTATGGAAAAGCTGAAGGAGCACAGAAAATTCTGGCCTGGCCAGTTCTTGGTCTTTCTATAGCAGAAGAATTGCCAGTTTGGGTAGTTTTTCCAAGCAATAACTTCTCAAAGCCTTGCCAGCCCATCTTTCCAGTATCAGGCCACTGACTTGCTTTTCCCAGACCATTTTATCCTTTACTTTTCTAAGAATCACAGAACGTTTCAGTTTGGAAAAAATTTAAAGCTCATCTCATTCTACCCCTGCCATGTCCAGGGACACCTTCCATTGTCCCAGGTTGCTCCCTGTGCCAGGGCCTGCCCACCCTCTGAGGGCAGAATTTCTTCTTAATATTTAATTTAAATCTTTTCTCTTTTAGTTTAAAGCCATTCCTCTTGTCCTGTCAGTATCTGCCCATGTAAAAAGCCTCTCTCCCTCTTTTTTATAAGACTCCCTTAGGCCCTGGCAGGGGCTCTGAGGTGTCCCTGGAGCCTTCTCCTCTCCAGGTGAGCACCCCCAGCTCTCCCAGCCTGGCTCCAGAGCAGAGGGGCTCCAGCCCTGGGAGTGTTTCCCCTGGACCTGCTCCAACAGGTCCATGTCTTTCTTGTGCTGAGGATCCAGACCTGGACACAGCCCTGCTGTGGGAGGGTCTCACAAGGGCAGAGTGGAGAGGGAATGCATCTGCATTAGTCCTTTCATCAAATCCCAAGACCTAAAGTAGGATTGGATTGGATTGGATTGGATTGGATTTGAGAATGGGAGGTGTTTGTGTATGGAGCAGGTGGGGTCACTGCAGTCAAGGTGAGTTCTCACCCCCAGCTGAGGGAGCCCATCCTGTCACCAACAGATCCAAGCTTGGGAGCTGAGGAGGAATCACCACAGCTTTTGGAAAGTGTTTTTGCATGTGCAGCACACAAACAGGGCAGGAAACTCACCAGCAGCTCTTCCTTCTTCCTGTCCACCACCCTCAAGTCCTCCGGTACCGTGTCATCTATGACCAGCTTGTTCTCATAGGTTGACAGCAGGTCTCGGCCTTGCTGGAGGCTCCTCTCCAGGTTTGTGGCCACCTCAACTCTGTCAGGACACGAGGAAGGTGTTTAAGCACACCTGCACCCTCCTCCTGCAGGGCTCAGGCTGGGATTTAAGCCATGACTTACTTCTCCTGGGCAGCGCTGAGCAGCTGCACCACGCGCTCGTACTTCTTGTTGGTGTTGTCCACCTTGTTCCTCACCAGGGTGGCGCTGCCCGTGTTGGGCACGGACTCGATGAAGGCCTCGCACTCCTGGATCTTCCTG